GGTTTTTTGACGGATATCCGTCATCCGGCGGTTATACGGATGACGGAATCGGATTTCTCGGATGGCGGATAATAACAGATCCAATCCGTCAACATTAAATGTTTTATAATAATCCCTTTATCCTCATCCTAGGATTTTTAACGGATATCCTTCGGATATCCGTTATCCGGCCTCGGATTGGAACACTAGTGGATTGATCACAAATTAAGGTTTTCAATACTATTCAAACTGGATAGAAATATTTGAGTATCTCAGCCACATCTGTTCCTAGTGAACGACTTTTCAGTGATGCTGGGAATCAAATTACTAGTGATAGAAATCGTTTGAAGCCTGAAACATATTTTATTTTTTCAATTTGGTTAAATCTTTTACATAATAAATCAATAATTGATATAGTGATATACTTTAAACCTAATGTTTTCACATTAAAATAATATAAAATAAAAATAAAAAAACTATTATAAAACCGTACATCAATATAAATTTAATGATTATCGATCAACATGTATTCGAATTCATGAATTTTGTTACTTCGAATGGTGTAAATCGATTAAATCGTTTAGGGAATCGATCAATTAAGGTAATCGATGCATAATTAGCCAATTAATCGATCCCAACTTTGAATATTTTTTGCAAACTTAGCGGGATGCACATTTTCAAAAAAAACACAAACCATCAAAAATTTATTATACATATTCGTGAGTTGTCGCATTTTGAATTTGCATGATTATAATAAATTGTACAGTATTAGGCCGGACAAAAAAAATTTTTAGATTCTCGTGACATAAAATTTTGAAAATGACCCGGCCGGCCGGCTTATTTTTTTATATATGTAAAATTTTTTTATGCACGTTGGCTTTTGTAACACCATTTTTATCTCATACTTAAAATCACGTGAAAAAAAATTTCATTTTTTCAAAAAACTGACACGCGAGAATCTAATTATGGTTATTATTGAAAAACTTTAAGTGTCATTAATTTGGTTGCACATTATCCTTACAGTATCATTTCAACCATAAATAATAAAATAAATAATAGTTATCATGATTTCTGCAACAAAATTTATTAGAAATCATTTGCATGAGAATTAATGCTACAGACGAAATTAATTTTGCCTAAATTAGAGTTTTGGAAGTTTCAGATAGTTTTGATTTATATTGGTGAAACATCATCACGAAATTAGGTAGATCGATTCACATAATACACAGGTTATTTGGATTGTGAATAAGTTTTTACTGCGGAATTCAAGAAATTATTAATAATGCACTTACAACTGAGATGCCCAATTCAGTACTTAAGGTGAGTAAAAAAAATTATAAAAAGGTATTTTAAAAATTCTCCAATTAATCCACATGTGATGACCTCGAATTCTGTGGAACCACTCTCAAAGGGTATTCGGAAAACATCAATTGGATTCCCATGATAGTTCCATAAAGATTTCTTTGTAAATCTTAAACGGGTAAAAATTTCATATTTTGAAAAGTTCTCGAAAAAAAAGGAAAATAAATTACTACTAAATCATATTTGTTTGCTTTATTTCTACTACAAAGGACGCAGATCTGGTTTTGATAAAAAAAGAAAGCCAATAAGTTTTTGACAGTCTTAGAGACTCGACCAAATACATTTTTTAACGCAGTTTATCACCTAAAAATTAAACATGATTATGTATCATAGAATGTCAATTTTAGGGGACAAAGGAAAGGATTGATGTTTCACTTAAATAATCGGACTATTTTAATCTAATCTGAAGATTAAGACTTCTGGATTATTCTTGACTTTACAAAAGTAATGCAAATGTTTTATTTTCGATGAAGAAATGTTTTACATTTTTATTATTTTTATTATTTTTTTTGTTAATTTTATTTTACTGTTTTTGACTTGAACTGCGAACGGAGAGTATTCACCGAGTTTGGAACATGATGCTGTTTTATTGTTGTATATAAATTAATTTCTCTAATTTCCTTTTTGGACTTTTAACAAAAACGCGATAAATTTATATATAATCAATAATAATTTTACGAAAAAATATTCATAGAAATTAATAATTAATATATATATATATATATATATTTGACGTAAAAAATAAAAATAAAATAAAATCTTCCGCCTTTATTTCTTTTCGAAAGAAATATTTCTTACAAGAAATAACATTTATAATAAAAATTATTTTCTCATTTAACGAATTTTCACTCTAAAATACCTACACTATACCTACTCATATTTCAAAATGAAACTCGTTTTAACCCCTCTTTTGGAGGAAAATACCCTTGATTGTAATTATTTTACACCAACTTATTTTTTTGACACGGAGTGGTGTCTTGACTTGCATGGCTATCTTACTAGAAAACAGTTAGAGTCTCGTCTTGAAGAAATTAATAAAATTGTTATTGAAAACCCATTACTGAGCGAAAGAGCAAAGAAGGGCATATTGTATGGCTTTGTAGGATTTTTCGTATTTTTGATGTCAGTTATCATATTTGGAGCTTACACTAATGCTGTTGGTCTTACTGGTCCATCTGTGATGGAAATTCTCATTACTATCGGAATTTTTATAGTAAGATATTTGATCAACAAAGCTGCAAAGACTCGTTCAGACAAATTTTCTAAGGCTATAAATGAAAAGTTCAAAGAATTTAACTCAAGTGATAATCCAGTTGCCAATTGGAGTCTTGTGTGGCGTAATGTCCTCACCCATTATAAAGTAGAAATAAAATATACCGCTGATGGAGGTATGAAGGGAAAATCTACACCGAAATACGCTGAACATGCAGAAATAGTGCTTGAAATCAATGATGCACTTTCTGGCATTACCAAAAATGACGTCCGTATAAAACTTGATGAACTTGGTTTTTATATACCTCGTAAGATTGATGATATTGATCCGGATGAAAATAATACTAGTTCTCCGATTCCTTCCAACGGGAGGTTGCCTAATTCTCAGAAAATGTCTCCTTCTGATGAAAAGGGGTTGCCACCGACACCTAATTCTCAAGTTCCCTCTGACAATAATCATTCTTGTTCCTAATTCTATAATATATAACCATATTAATATACAATTTATTATAAATTATTAATGATTAACATATATGTTTTTTTCTTTATTTTGGTTGTTATTCCTATAAATAATTTCTGATATATTATTAAATAAATCAACAAACTGATTTTTTTTTTTCAAATCTATTTCAAAAAGAAAATCTGAATAAACTCATCTATTAACGTCTGTACAATGTGCATCATATCAACGATGGCTTGCAATAGTAATGGTGTCATAATTACCAAATATAGTTTTGTTTTTTAGTAAATTCATATTTCGTGCAACATGATCTTCTAAATAATTTCCTTTATAAGGAGGGAGGCAAAAAATTTATATATTAGTAAATTAGCAAAAACAAAATGTTTATTGTTTTAAACTCTCAGTATTATAATTATAAATTTATGGCAGTTGGTGGCGCATGCGATGACAAATAAGCGTGACAAATAGGGTTCAGATAAATAATAATTAACCAGGGTGTGCAAGCACATATTATATATGCATGCGCCACCAACCTGGTTTATGGCGCAGCTAGCCGGTGTGACGCAACAAAAAATCATAAAAAGAAAGGATTTTATAGTAAGATATAGCCTTTAAAAGTTACTAATTATACCTAATTTCGTCTGCTCTGCAAGTTTACTTAGAGTATTAAAAGCAGTTTTAAATATCATTATTGACTTATTTGACAAAATTTTATTTTTATCAATTTATATGTAAAGTCAAAAACGGCATTTTAAACCTCCATCCAAAGCATAAGTAAACTTGCAGAGCAGCCGAAATTACATCTACAGTAAAAATTTAAAAGCTTTATGTCAAAGAAAAAATTGGTATGTATTTTTTTGAAAAAGTGCTGTGCCACAAACCTGATACTAATTTATTTAGAAATAAAGTTTATAAAATATCGAATAATTAATAAACAAGAAATAATAAAAATTAACTGTAAAGAATTAGTAATGATCTTTTATTATTTATTTACATAAGTTTAAGGAATTTTTAATTTTTATTTACCGCATCTTTTTTTTTTAACATCACATCAGTAGCGCCAAATGCTCACATCATCACATCAATCATATGACTTCATAGATGACTTTACCGTAAGTCATCTACAAATAATAGGGTTCGATGCAACAAACAAGTGAAACAAGGACAGTAAATTTTTGCGCAATTTGCTAATGACTCATCAATATGCACATATATATTTTTCATGAGTCATAGTTACGCGTAATATCAAAATAGAATCGCCAAATTAATGATCTATTTAACGTCATTTAACGTCAGCATTTAACATTTATTATTAGTCATCGCAATATGACAACAAATAAATTATATTCTAGAAATTAAATAAAGATGATAATTTTCTGTGATTCCCATTTTCTTCTTGAATAATTTTACATTAAAAATTAAATTTTATAAATATATTATTTCGCTAAATGTATACATGATGTAATTAATAATTGTCAAAGTATGTAACGTAGATTCATAAATGAAATGTTTTTCAATATACAATTGTGCTAAATGAGTCATGATATCGGCATGATTTGATAAAAAAATCATGAGTCATAGTTCATGATTAGGGATGAATAAATTGATACATACTGTATATTACACATATTACACATGAAATATCATGATAAAACCTATTTTATTAAATAGTATACACATGTTATACTGTATATGTCAATATAAATTAGTTAGATCTTATTTGACTGACTCTTACATATTTTAAAAAAAAAGTTAATAATAGTGATTTTGTGAAAGGACACTTTACTATGTAATACGGCGATGATACTAATATCCCAAATATAAGCATGAGATAATTCCTGTTTGTCATCTGGCATATAAAAATAGGTGTTATATATTAATTTACAAATGTTTTTGTACAGGACACGACTCGAACCCGCATGCTTCAAATGAACACCAGATCCTAAGTTTGGCATGTCTACCATTCCAGTCAGCCCTGCTTTTTTGAATTCCTGATTGGGAATCGAACCCAAATATCTTTTTTAAAAGAGAGGAGTCTTACCATTAAGTGCATCAGGACTTTATTTTAATTTTCTTTCTTTTTCGTCAGGTTATTAAATAGAGTAGAGCACAGATCAGATAAAAAAAAGTGAAATAAATATAAATTCAACTAATCTACTTTCAGATAATAACAAAATCCCAGCCAAGACCACAAAGAAAAGTCGAGAACGGGGAAAAAGAGCGAAAATATAGTTGAGGCATTTAACGCTGCAGATTATTTTCGTGGCGGACCTTCAGGAAATTATTATAAAAATTCTTAAACATTGCTGAATTTGTGAAAACAATTCCATAATTAACCAAACAGGGTCTATTTGACGGTTTTGTTATGCGATTAGATGATCTTGCTCTTTTACAAGTTTGATATTTGTTTTTGGTTTTTTTTTTGGTTAAAAGATAATATTCTTAATTTATTAGTTGGACTAGTCACTAGTGGCAACTATCCCATTAATATTGTCTATTGTAGCATTTTATCATATCTTTAATCTTTACATGACCCTTTGCAACCCAGAATATGAAGGTTTTTTTGATATAGTGCTATACTACTTATATGATATATAGAACTCATGGGACGGATGTGGGCCAACTTTAAAACAATTAGAGAAATATGAAATATTTGGTTAATAAAGGATATAAATATCAAGCTGAAATAGTTGCATAAGTGTTTATAATTAAGTGATACGTACATCTTGCGGTTATGTTTTAGACGAGTCAACATGTGAGCCCTCCGTCGTTCCTTTACCGCTATTATCGCCGGTCTTCCGACGTCCTTTGACGTCAAAGCAGGTGTTCTCCACTCCCTATGGACCGAAACTAAGGCAAAATCCATCAATATTCCTCGCTCCAGATTCTCGTATCGTCCTAAACCATACGTCAATGTAAAATTATTACTGAGGATAATGGAAAATTTATATACATGCAACAAAAGACTGTGTTTTCAACGCATAAATTGTTAGAGCTAATATCGTGACGACATTAGACAAAAAATATTTTTGAATGGGATATCATTATTAAGAGTTATTCTTGTTGTTGTATATACATTATACAGTATGTTGATAGCTGAGGTTCGTAAGATGTCTAATGCCGGCCCAAATATCTTAAGGCATTATAAACTTGGCCGCAATAGTGCAGGCTGGTCGTGCAATTATGAAGTCAGTTTGGATATGGGAAATCATGGATGGGATGATCGGAAATTGTTTCATTGTCCTAAATTTAAAGGATGGTTATACTTTTTTATAGTAAAGTATCCGGAAATATTAAACTTTTATCCAATAGTAAGTATCCTGGATGTACTGTATTATGAACTACTCAATATTTTGATAATATAGTTTGATAACAATAATATAATAATTTAGATCGTACAATAAAAATATTTAAAATCAGTTTTATACATTAATTTGATAGTTTCAAAAATAAATATAAGTTTCGAGACCTTTCCTTTAAAAAAAAAAAAAAAAAAAAGCATATCTTTTTTTTTTTATACTTTTTTATTATTTAATTGAAAAATCGGTTCGAAATTTCCATATTCATTTCATATTTTATTTTTATTTTTATTTTAAACATTTTTCAAATGCTAATCTGATTAACAATAATAATAAATAAAAACCCGAACTGAAGTTTTAAAAAAAAAAAAAAAAAAAAAAAAGTATTCTATGTTTCAAAAAATAAGTATTATTACTTAAAATATTCTCAGTTAACAAGGAAAGGATACTATTCCGATTGTATTGTCTGTACTCTGTACAATATAAATAAAATATAAATTCAAATTTATTTTAAAGCGTAAAAATAGTAAGATCGGAGGGGATTTGTATCAATAAATTTAAACCATATAAGGAAATTCCCCCGCAGATTGGACCAGTCGATTATGACATGATCCCTATTTTTCGTAATTTTTTTTTTTTTCCTTCTCTGTACTTTCCGTAAGATTTTTTTTTTTTAAAAAAAAAATTTGTGATTGAATGTACTGAGTTCTTTGTACTATAAAAATTATTTACATTAGATGCATGTAATTGATTTTGTACCAATGATCCGCCATTACTTATTGACAAGAAAAGGAAATCATTTCGGTTGATCGCCGATACACTATCAAAAAAAAGTCTATTGTAATTAAATTTAGGTTTGTAAAAAAAATTTTTTTTTTTGGCGGATCGCGCAGTATTTTTGAACGAAAAATAACAGATAATAATAATTCTAAAGTAATATTTTAATTATTTAAATTATTTAACAATTTATTAACAATTTATTGTTTTTCTAGTAAAAACGCACTTACAAAAATAAATTTTAACCAAATATCACTTTTCTATAGAAGAATAATATATATTTTCTTTTTTTTTTTTAAAAAAAAAAAAAAAGTGAAATGCAAGTTTAAGAAAGTTTATATATATGCAAAAAAAAATAATCCCTTTTGTTTCTAAATTAAAAATATATATTTGCGTATAATAACATATTATCCTTTTAAACAAAAAAAAAATTAGAATATATAATTAGAATAAATATATTAAAGAATATTATTAAAAAATAAATGTTTTTTTTTTTAAGGATAACTCAAAAGTTTGACTTTAATATCATGATCATATTTATCACAAGTAGTTCCTTTACAAAATTCTTGGGCAAAATAATCAACGAAACCACTAAATGTATCTAAAATATTCTTTTCAGCAACGGTAGCAAAAGAAGGAAGGTCATTTGCTTTAATGTTTGATTTAGCAGCACTAATAATAATAGCTCTTGAAAGAGTACTAAAGAAACTTCCATTAGGAGAGAGACGATCCTTCAATGATTCATTAACATTTTTAACATTTCTTGGTTTAACATATTGATCCATAAAATGACAAACAGCAGGAGGATTACCACAAATATAATCTTGATTTTGACAATCATCCATAGTCCAAGCAACACCAGCTGGTGGTTGATTAACTCTTAATGGGTGTTGACATTGACCTTTAAATTGTGGAGATTGATTGAAAATTGAATCCTCAATTAATTTTGCAAAGTTACCAGTAAAAGTATCTTCAAATTTATCAGTTTCTTCTTCAATTACTTTATTACATGATGATCTAGCTGATGATGAAACGCTTCCAGTAAATCCATTAGAAAGATTGTCTTGTAATCTTTTTTTAAATTCTACAAACAAAACTTTGACTTCTTTGGAATAATTGTCTCCAAAAGCTAGTGAAATACCAGTACGACAGCTTTGTTCACAAGCATTCGTAGGTACAATAGTAAATAATAAAACGGAAATTGCTACAATGGTAGCGAAATAAGTTAGAGATGATTTCATTTTTTTTTTGGGGTAAATAAAAGTTTCGTGAAAAAAAAAGTATACGTCGATAAAAAGAATACGAAAATTATAACGAAAGGGGAAAAAAAACTTAATATTATAACGAAAAAACGAAAAAAAAAAATTTTTTTTGTTAAAGACTCTTTTGATATGAGCAAAAAAAAATTCTTTCTAGAAGAAAGTCTTTTTTTTTTTTTTTTTTGGTTAAAATATTATCAAATTATAAAATTTGCTCAAGAGTAAAGAAGAAAATAAAACGGTTGAACATTTTACTCCTTATATATATATATAATTAAATTTTTTTTTTTATTGTGATACTTCATAATATAATTTTTCTACCAAATCTAGTTAACCACGCGGTGATGATAAAAATAGTAACAAACTTAAATGATCAAGTAACACAATTGCCGATTCAAGCATGTACATTATAATAAAAAATTACAATAATTTATTTGCCAAGCCTTTCACTGCAGGAGTATGTATTATTTTACGGATATTATCTAATAAAAATGATCTTTTTGATTTTTTGTTGGGTATAAAATAAATTTATTTTACCTTTTACGTTGATAAATAAATAAATGTTTTAATTTTAAATACGGAAACTTTGGATATGCAAAACAAAGAATAAATCTTCACGGTAACTTTTTCTTTTTAATATTTTATAAACTTTTATCTAATTTTGATCATAGATAATAGGGAGTGGATTAGCACGGAGAAAAGGATTGAAAATATCAAAGAGAATCGCTTTACATGAATGCGCACTTTTGTTAAATTTCCTATTATAGTAAAGTAGGAAATACCGACATTAAAAATAATAACGTACGATGTGTAAAAATTAAATCAAATCTTAGGACTTTAAAGACTTTGTCGGAATTACTCTCATAAATTATTTAAAATTATTAATTATTCGCAGTTTAATAAGTAGCCAATGCACATGATTTATGATTATAATATATATATACAGTATATAGATATATATTAAATTCGATAATTCTTTGTTTATATTTGGCATACGATTTGATGTCGATTACTAGTGGGTCGGTCTGTTTATTTATTACATATTGCATTTGATATAAGGTTTTCTTCACAAAGATTTTCCTTTTTTTTTCTTTTGAATACTTTTTTATTAAAGATTTTCTTTATCTGAGATCAATCTGCTGTAATAAACGGGTGACAATACAAAAATAACGGGTGTTCCCTAGTTCGTTATCAAATTAAATAAATCTTTATGACGGCATTTATCGGAAAAAAATCGGTACTACAACATATTAACGATTTTTTTTTATTGTCCTCCGAGTATGATAGTAATCCTGAAAGAAGAAAAAGTAAATCTTATTTTTTTTTAGATTTAATTAAATTTATTTGTTTGTAATTAATTAAATTTCTAAATTTGTAAAATCCCAGTAAATAATAATTTTTTTTTTTTTTTTTTAAAGTTATAATATTTTAATGTTATGATTATATGATTATTAAATTAACGTATCAAAAAAGATACACAAAATTTAACTAATTTACACAACAGAATGTATTTCTTTCTAAACACAATGAGGTGATTTGTGGATTTTCAATCATGTGTGAATGGATTTTTTTCTCTTTTTGAACATATGATAATAATGATTTTTTTAAAAAAAGAGAGAATGTTAATCGACAAAAAAACCAAAAAGAAAAAAAAATTATCCTCTTCAACGTTCGTAGCCTTTTCCTTGTTTCACAAATTCTATAAATAAATCGATTAATATAGA